CTTAAATTTCATTTAAAAGAGTCATGAAAGCAGCAATTCAGATGGTACTGAAAGAGCTTCTTTCAATGATTTTATAAAATTGAATCTAATTAAGTTTGATTGTCCTCACAGTACACTTTAGGAAGGTTGTTCAGCAGTGAAGATTTCATGACATTTTTGCCATTGAGCATGATGATGATTTTGCTGATGAACTACCAATCCTATCCACAGAGTAAAAGTGTGTGCAGTTGATAATGTGATAAATACATAAACCAAGAGATAGTATTTCCTACTCTCACTTCCCCTGTGACATACATTTTAAAAAATGGACGGTAAGGCATTCTGGAATGCCTTGTAAAAACAAATGCTAAACAAGTACTCATTCTGAAAGTGAAATAAAATGGTGAAGAGTCAGATACAAAGACTCTGAGTTTAGATGGCATACTGACCTGTGGTACTATACGAGCTGAAAAAATTATTACACTTTCTGGACACATTCATTTATGCATGGCATTAAATTTAAACACTTGGCTACTTTAAAAAAAGCAAATATCCTAAATTAAAAGATAAACAGGTTCTATGTGCTTCCATTTTTATTCTAGCTAGTGACATATAAACCATTTTAACATGACACAAATGCTGCAGTATTAATACCCTTGTTCATTTAAATAGTTGGACAAGAAGGTAAAAGCAAGTACTTTACTTCTAATGGAGATAAGTGAATTGCACTTGAACATGAATTAAACTCACAATCTTTTGTTTACCTTTTTTATTTGTAACAGACTTGACTAATCCTGACATATTTCTGTAAAAAATTCTAGCTTAGCAGGTAAGTAAGGTAAGCACAGGAAGGATGCTGATCCTAGGGGCAGACCTCTGAGGTAATGTGCCAAAAGCCTGGGGTTCTGCTGGTGAGACATAGTAGAGCCCCACAGCCTTTGTAGAAGTCCATCGCTCCTGGATAGGCTGTTTCGTGTAACACACTGGACACATGTAGTGACTGCTCAGTTCTAATGCAAACAGCGTGATCCTCAATTATTTCCTGATGTAAACAACCTTAGGAGAGCTAATTTGGTCCCCTGGTAATGATGTGTATGAAAGGTAGTCTGTGCTGGCACTCACCGTTTCCAACCATTTGTCGGGCTTCCTGCTCTTCTAGTGCACATAAAGAATAATTTCTATTTAATTTCTTTAAGCTCCTTTAGAAGCTTTTTTTTTTTTCTTAATTAACTAGCTCAGTTTGAGGCCTTGTCACTGAACCAATAATGAACCCTGCTAAACAGGACTGACCACAGTGATTTCTGCCTAAACATAAGATTGATGGTAGTACCAAGCAAATGAGCAAAGTAATTCTGTGCCCATCCACTGCTGTTCTGTGCTGCTGACAGCTTCTTAATACAACAGAAAATAAAGGCTTTTTGGAGGCTGCTGTAAACTGCAATTTAGGGTCTTCAAGGTTAGATGGGACTTGATGAAACCAGTTTCATTTATTAAATGGTCTTGTGGGAAGACTTGCATTGCTAGTGCAAGTACTGAGGAAAATGCCAGTACAGCTGAATAGAGCCCACATATTGTTGTCACCATTGGAGAAGATGTATCTTTCCTTGAAAGACTTACCTATCTCTCAATTTTGTCTTCCTTAACCAGTGATAGTGAATGGAAATTATAACAGCCAATAGTCCTAGACTGTTAGTCCTGCAGTTTGCGTTTTTCTACCACATGTCTTTAGAGTTGACTAAGAGTGCTTGGCAGTGAACTTAGTTTATTTTGGAATTTATACATTCTGATGAGGCTCTGAAGATCCAAAACTACCCACAAAATTGGAGAACAACATCTTTCTTCTTCAGCTGAGTAGACAGAAACACCACCACAAGTGACAGCTTTGTGCTGTTTCACTTTGTATCCATCTGCAAACCTCCTTCTTGAGCTGTCTTTTTTTAAAAGAATATCGCAGCAACACAACAAGCTTCCCTCTAACAGCAAATCCAGAGAGTGACAGTCACATCTGACTTCAAAAAGTTCATAACTAGATAGAAAACCCTCTTCTTGGAGGCTTGATTTTCCCTCTGAGAGATGCTTCTAACTTACCCTGTTTGAGCAGTACCTACGAACCCAGGCACACACCAGGGTAATCAGTGTATTAAACAGCACAAAGACGGCTCTTTCCCCAAACAGTAACGATGTAGCAATCTTACTGGATGTAGGCTTTTTTTGGTAGGACCTAGTGCGTTTAGTAGGAATGAAGTTTTGTCCTATAGCATGCATCTGCCAAAAAACAAAGCTCAGAAAAAGGTACAAGAAGTAGAATCAGAAAGTGCTAACAGGTGAAAGCTTTAGAAGCCACAAACTCTTTGCCTCCACTACAATCAGTTTATCTAGAGAGGAAGTAACAAGCTGACTCGGCTAACTACAGGACACAAAAATTAACTTAAATTTGGTTCCTTTATGCAGACAAAATTTAGCAAACACGGAAGTTTTTTTATTCACTTGCTATATGTAAAAGTGAAGGTAATTGATGAAGTAATTTATGGAGATGAAAGGATGGCTTAACATGAGCCAGCAGTGTGCCCAGGTGGCCAAGAGGGCCAATGGCATCCTGGCCTGTATCAGGAATAGCGTGGCCAGCAGGAGTAGGGAAGTCATTGTGCCCCTGTACTTGGCACTGTTGAGGCCTCACCTCGAGTACTGTGTTCTGTTTTGGGCCCCTCACTACAGGAAGGACATTGAGCTGCTGGAGCGGGTCCAGAGGAGAGTCACCAAGCTGGTGAGGGGTCTGGAGAACAAGTCCTATGAGGAGAGGCTGAGGGCACTGGGCATGTTTAGTTTGGAGAAGAGGAGGCTGAGGGGAGACCTCATTGCCCTCTACAACTACCTGAAAGGAGGTTCTAGAGAGGTTGGTGTTGGCCTCTTCTCCCAAGGGAATAATGACAGGACCAGAGGAAATGGTCTGAAGTTGTGGCAGGGGAGGTTTAGATTAGATATTGGGAAGAATTACTTTACTAGAGAGTGGTCAGGCACTGGAACAGCCTGCCCAGGGAGGTGGTGGAGTCACCATCCCTGGAGGTATTTAAGAAACGGGCAGACATGGCTCTTCAGGGCATGCTCTGGTGCCCAAGAGTATTGGTTTGTGGGTGGGTGTGATGTGGTGGGGTTGTGGGTGTGGGGTTTAGTTGGTGGGTGGTGGTTTGGGATTTGTTGTTTTTGTGGTGGTTGTGGTGGTTTGTGGGTTTTTTGTTTGGTTGGTTTTTGGTTTTGTTTTTGGTTTTTTTTGTGGTTGGACTCGATGATCTCGGAGGTCCCTTCCAACCACTAAGATTCTGTGATTCTGTGTTCCTTATATCAGCAACTAAGGTACTCCCTGCAGATACAACCTGAGTTTCCCTTCTTATCTTCCATGAACTCTGTAGACTGGTTTATCCCTCAAGCACTGGCCTACTGGTCAAGGTTTCTTGAAACTTAAATATAAATACTGAAAATGTATACTATTCTGAGGTCTGGTATAACATTTAAAAATAGACATTTATTTTAAGAAAGACTGATGCTTAGATCACTTCTATTTCGGGTTTAGATATTTGTAACTGTCACCTTTATGTATGTTTGTAGAGCTGTGAAACCACAGGATCCGCAGGAACAGCTTCATTTTCTCTCCCCAAATAGATGAAAAGAAATTATCTCTGATTAAAGTGTTTTCTAAATAATTGAAATAGAATAACTAATTAAACAGAAGGTGTTTCGTGTGGGTTCCCTAGTGGTTTTGGGATGACAGAGCCATGGAAAGGTTGACCAGCTGTAAAACTTGTATTTATTTCTTGCCCTTGCTCTACAGAAATTGGAGGCAGCCTTAACAGTGCTATAACGTGTGACAAGTGGTAGGATTGTGGGAAGAAAATCACAGAGCAAGCAAATATTAGCATGTACCAGGAACCAGTACTTACGATCAGGAGTATTTATTTTCCGTGGTTTTTACCCTCAGTTAAAGAGTAAAGGTCAGCGCTTCGTCAGTAATACATGAACAAGTTCTAAATGGGTTACCCACGGACACAGTTTTTGTCTGTGTTGCTGTGAACAGAAAGGATACACTTAGAGGATGGAACAGCATACCCTAGCAAACGGAAGAGTGTCCACTTGTAAAGCTTTAGACTGTGTTACAGGACTAAGAAATACAGAGCACTCAACCAACCAGTCGAATAAACATTTTCAAATCAAAAAAGCCTAAATAATAGCTGCAAAGTCAGCGAAATATTTTCCTCCGTAGCTTTCACGTAGGTTTCAGTTCAAACGGCTCAGAAGGACAGAATGAGCTTTCCTCTGGGCCAAGGCACATGCCACTGGAGCTCAGGAGTGGCACCACTTCCCCAGGGGTCTCGTTAAGTACAGACAGGAGGATGGCAAAGCTGGGTAATTAATCGCTTTTGGGTTGTCCTGTATTTGTAGAGCAGTCAGCTTACTGAATCCGTGCAACACAAGCGGGCTTGATGTTGTCTAGTTTATGCAAAGCAGATACGTAGCGAAGCTTCTACGCTTTTCTGAATGAGTGTGATCGTTCAGTTATAAGTAACACAGACGTTTCAAGCGGCCTCGCACGGGATGCCACCAATTTGGATGGCACAAATTTGGCAAAACTCGCCCAGATTGATTCCTGGAGTACAACCCTTTGTTACGCACCCCCTGCCTTCTCACTCCGGCCGAGCCCACCACCCCTTTCCTGTTTCCCAGATGGATGCCGGCGCTTCCCGCTGCCGTTTTGCTCTGCTGCTGCTGTCCCTTCCCCTTCCCCTTTCCTTTCCCCTTCCCCTTCCCCTTCCCCTTCCCCTTCCCTTCCCCTTCCCTTTCCCTTCCCCTCCCCAGACCCCCGGGTCTCGGACCGGCCGCCGGGGGGGGGGCGGGGCTGGCCC